AAGTGTCACACCTACCCCACAAGGTTGTAAGGAAATCACTTTGCAAATGTATAGAAATTTGAGTTGTCATTCAAAGGGCAATGCCCAGTGAGTGTAGCCTTCCCCTATTATCTGTCCTCATTCAGATCACAGCAAATGATCACCAGAAGCTAAAATGTCTATGGAGCAAAGGAAAGGCTCCATCCAGCAAGCCTCCCTTGCTCGTCCATTCTCTCCTTCTGAAACATGGACTCCCAGGACCCTTTCCCTCCTTTGCCCAATGCCTCTGCCTTGGCAGGCTGAGACAAACCCATCAGTGCCAGACAATGAGCAAGCCCCAAAGGGGGCTCAGCTCAGCTCTAACATCACAATCTTCCCAAACAATTGCCCCGGAGGACTCTGAGAGTTGGGCATCCACAGATTCTGGCAATGTCTGCTCAGCCAAGAGACAACTGCCATATTTCCAGATCCTGGGTTTTCAGAGTGTTGGGGGGGGGGCAGGGAAAAGAGACCCTGCTTGGGAGAGGGTCAAAGTCATATTCCCAGATCTGCCCCTTCCTGGGGCGGTGACCCTAGTCAAGTCCCTTCCTGTCTCTGGGCCTCAGTTTTCTCCTCTTTAAAAGGAGGGTCTTGGACTGAAGGGCCACTAGGTTCCTAACATCTCTAAAAACCCACAATAGCTGAGGCGATCTGGAAGCCTCAGAGCCCTGCACCGACTAGCCTTCGGCAGTCAGGAGGTTTCGTTTCTTTCTTAGGATCAGAGGGCTGTAGACCTTTCATAAACAAGTTTACTTATGAGAACGCAAAGAAAAATAAAAAAGATTAACCTACTGCTTCCCCCACCCCAAAAGTAAAATGAGAAATAGAGCCTCTGTTCTCATTGATTACACATGCCTCCCTCTTGGAAACCAATATCAGAATGGTTTCATTCACTAGTGCCCGGAAGCTACTTTTGCTCAAAAACAAAACAATCCAATACACAGGTTGGGGGGGGGAGGTGTTTTCGAGGATTTGCTCATTGATGAAACAGCCTGAAACAGATGACCTCATCTTTCAAATATTTGTTCACGCCCCCATTATTTTCCCCCTTCAGTTTGCCCCTTCGAGAAAAGGTTTGCCCCACACCAAGGCAGCCATGTCTGCCCAGCAAGGAGGAAATCCAATATCACCCAAACCAGAGCTCTGATTCACACAGTACCTACCCTTCCTCCCCCAGGCTGCCTCCTCCTTCTCCTCAATGCACCCTCAGAAAGGCCAAGGCCATGTGGTGGAGTAAGCCCCAAGTCAAGGTCCACCCAGTCCTCCTTAGAAGGCACCATCTTGCACAGCAGACAGCACTGTTTTGGCCCCACAGCAACAACCCGCTAAGCAAAGTGGGCTGTTGATCTGCACCTGTTCCAAGCAGAAAACAAGTGATGCTGCACTTAAGGGAAAATGCCTCATTAGAACCCATTTCAGCTTTCTGAAAGGAAGGTGTCACCCATCCTGGGCTCCTGCCACCCTGGAAGAGCCAAAGACTGGGAGAACGTCACTGATGGCTGCTGGGTAGACCCATGATTTGCTTCAGCATGTCCACTGGGCAAGTCAAGTGCTGCGGGGCTGAAGACAGCTAAGTCTTCTTCCTTCTGTCTTCCTCCTTTCCTCCTCCTCCTTCCAGCCTCCTCCCCCTCATCTTTCTCTTCCTCCTCTTTCTTTCCTCTTCTTCCTCCATGCCCCCCCCTCCCCAAGGCACCAGGAAGCTGTCCACCTCTCTGCCTCGCTTCAGCCCTTACCTCCCTCCCAGGGATCCCAGGAGCAATGATCTCGGAACAGCATCTGTCCTGATGAAGAGGGGAGGGGGACCCGGGGCCCAACCCTCTGACGGCGCGCTCCACGCACACAATGGCACATAGGCTCCGTGCCTTCTCCTTTCCTTCCAATCACATCTCAATATTTGAAATTCAGGAAGGGCAGAAATCCGGAGGCACCATCAGCAGAAGTGTTTCCATGTCATGACTATACCTGGCTTGCTCTCTTACCCTTTTCTTAATCCTAAAAAATCCTCTTCTCTTCTTTTCTTTTGTGCCTGAACGGCGCATTCTGTCCCCCCAAATACGCAGAGCTGGACTACCAAAACTGTCTTTCCGAGCACATCTTCCTAAAACAACAACAGCGACAACAATAAAAATCTACCAAAAGCCCAAAGGGAGGAGCGCGCCCACAAGGACAACGGGAGCTGGGCGAGCAGGGCACCTCAAAGGCTCAAGCTCTTCCTCATTTGTTCTAGGAATCATTCAGTGGCTTCAATTCCACAGCAAGGCTGGTCACAGCTCAGCCGCCATTTGTAGGAAGTGGAGTAACCAGGCTTCTCATTTGGATTCCCAAGAGGACATCCCCGTTTCTGCCTAATAAAACTCTACAGGAAGGGGGGCCAGGATCGGGCCACTCTTACCTTTCAGATGTCAGCTACCCCCCTATCTCTCCATACCTCCCCTCCCAAGAGCTCTTCAAACCCAGGAATTCTTCAATTCCAGCAAAATAAAACTAACCAATTCTTACCAGGGCTTTTGCTAAGAGCTCATGTGGGACAAATGTGGATATCAAATGTTGCCAGCAAAAAACCACTATTCCACATGTGACCACACCACTGGCAATGTTTTTACAAAATTCCCCAATTCTCAGAATTATAATTATGAAAAGTCTCTCCCCTCCCAACTCGACTGCAAGATATTCCAGTTCTAATGCTTTAATAAGCCATCAAATATGGCCTCCAAGGGGGAGGTGGGGAGGGGAGGGCAATGAATTTCTCCACCCCAAACCACCCAATCTACAACTGTCCAAAATTTACCCCGAAGCTTAGAGCCTTGGAATAGAATGCTGGCTGAAATAAAGATGAACTCAAGGCAGCTGGCACCACATTCCATGTTGATGGTCAGCACCGCCCCCCCCCAATTCAGCCCTCCAGTAGCTAATAAGAAGCCGGGCAACAGAGCACTTATCTACACCGAGGTCACATTTGCCAGGAAACTGGCCTTCTCAAAATAAGCCTTCCGTTCACTGGGCCGTCCTTCTATGAGGAAGCTCCACGTGAAATTAGGCCTCAAGTCTAAGCTCATTTACATGGGATGTTTTATGGAACCCTTCCACAATCCCCCCCAGGGCCACCCCATTATTTTTCAGACAAAGCACACTTCCCCAAACCACAATGTCGAGGGAGAAGAGGACAGGAAAGGGAAGGACCAGAAGAAGGCACGCCACGCCACGAGTCAGGGGTTCTCAGAGTCGGCCATTTTGGGGGGGAGGGTAGCGCAGTGTGGACTTTGCATGTTCTGCAACAGGCAAAAAGGCAGCCAGCTCTGTTCTCATCTGCCTGAAGATCCACACCCTTAGCCTCCTCTGGCAGGAATTCATTTCCCCATTGCCATCAAGTCCATGATGACCTCAGAGAGGGCTCGCCTGCCCGCCTGCCTGCCTGCCCGCTCCGCATTCCTACCCCTTTCCTTGTCCTCTTGGCCTGGCTTTGCCAAACCCTGTGTGACCCACCTCCAAATGCCCACTTAGTACAGCTGGTCAGGAGTTATTGTTGTTTGCTTTGCTTTGGATTCACGCCGCCATAAAAAACCAGCTCAAAGAGTGTTTGATGGGCCCGATTTCTTGCCCGACTTTGGCCGAAGTTGGGGGGTGGAGGGAAGGAGGGGATCTGGGAACCCTAAAGCAGCTGAAGAGAAAATCCAAGCAAGAACAGACCTGGGCAGGTGAGAAATAGATTCAGGTTCAGAGGAGTTTAGGAAAGAAGGGGTCGGGCCTCCCCCAAATGACCCTTTGTAGCCACGCTGAAAAGAGATCTGGAAGAGCTCTTCTGTGCTTTTCCTTTTTTTGTGGGGTACAGGCTACATAAAAACAAAGCTTTCAGAATTTATCTGTGTGTGATTTGGTGGGCACCCGAGGACGGCTCTAAGGGCCAATCTCCCAGCCAGGATCAGCCATTCCGGGCCCAGAAGGAGGGCCTGCTCTTCCCAAATGGAGAGGGGCTTCAGGAAAATGAGCAGCATCTCCCCAGCCCTGTTACCCTGGAGCTGTTGGGGATACTGCCTTCTAGGAGTATTCCACACACAAATCCCTCCAGCTAGTATCTAAATAGACTCACATGGAGCAAGCACAGAAAGTTAAAAAAAAAAATTATGTTCCTGAGGAATTCAACATGGATCTCATTTTAGAAAGAAAGAAAAAGGGGGAGGGAGAGAGGGAGAGGGAGAGACAAACAGAGAGAGAGAGACAGGGACAGAGACAGAAAGAGGGAGAGAGAGACAGAGAAAGAAGAGAGACAGAGAGAGAGAGAGAGAGGACAGAGAGAGAGAGAGAGAGGGAGAGGCCCAGAGAGTCTGAAAAAGTGAAGATGGTCAGGGGCTCTGACCCAACTCTCTGGAGTTCACCATTAAGCCTGCACTGCCCTTGGATAAGGTTGTTAAGGAAACCGAATTGGGAGAGTAGAGGAGCCGCTTTTACAACACTGCATTTCGTCCTTTGGGGCTTTCCTTGCACTAAAAAAAAAAAAAAAAAACACCGGACAAAGTCCCACTAAAGGAAGCAAGGAGGGCAGGGAGGGCGGCCCAGGCCAGACCAGGCCAGGGTGGGACTTGTGAATTCAAAAAAGCCAGCAGAAGTGGACCTTTGTCCAAGAAGACCTGAGCCCTCCTCCGATCTTCTTCCTCATCCTCCTCCTTCAACTCTTTCTCCCTGGTTTGGAACAAGCTGGGGTGGAAGAGGGCCCACCCGACTTCTCCCCAAGACTCAATAGCGTGAAACCCAAAATATACAAGTTCTATTTCTAGCTACCAGGGCCACGAAGATTCAGGAGGGCCCCCTTTCCGGAGCAGGCTGGAGGGGGGAGTTTCTCAAACTTCATTTCCCTCCTTGGCACCGAAGCCCGATGGCTGCACCCCCACCCCAGGCTGGGCCACGCTGCCGCTGCCGAGAACAAATTAACCTGCCACGTTACCAGATGCCAATCAACCGGCTTGGATTTGATGGGAAAGTCTTACCGGGTTCAGGATGAGGAGAGACCCCGGGACTCGTGGGGAAATGGGGGAGCCAGCTACTCCATGCCGCAGTCAGTTCTGAAGCCTCCTGTGCAAATCAGAGAGAGAGAGAGGAGCACATATACTCACTGGCACGTACGGAATCTCTCTGGGGGTGCGGGAGTGAGAAGAGAGAAAGGGAGGGAGTGGGAGGGAGGGAGGGAGGGAAAGAGAGAGAGAGAGAGAGAGAGAGAGAGAGAGAGAGAGAGAGAGAGAGAGAGAGAGAGAGAGAGAGAGAGAGAGAGAGAGAGAGAGAGAGAGAGAGAGAGAGAGAGAGAGAGAGAGAGAGAGAGAGAAGACAGGACCGGGGAGCAAGCTGGGTCCAGGGGGAAGGCGGTCCTTACCTAGCAACGGGGCTCCGGGTCGTGGCGGAGGCGGACGCAGCAGCGGCCCCGGCCCAGCTCGCGGCTCCCAGGCCGTCCGCCCAGCCCACAAGGAGTGCAGGCTGCCAGCTCGCAGCCACGACAACAATAGCGGGCTGAGAGGGATAGCATGAAAGGGAAAGGAAAAAGAGAGGAGAAGAGAAGAGAGAGGGAGGAGGGAGAGAAGGGGGGTGGGGAGAAGAAGGGGGGCTGCGCGGGGCTGGGGGGGGAGGGAGAAGCGTGTTAAGCTCGTCTGGCATTAACAAGTCCTGAATGAAGAATGTTAGCAAACACACAAACAGCATGCCCGATGCATGCTAATGGTCCCGGCTTGAGCCTGATATGATGAATTATTCAGCAGGCAAAAAGAAGGAGAGAGAGAGAGACAGAGACAGAGAGAGAGAAAGAGAGAGACAGAGAGAGAGAGAGAGAGAGAGAGAGAGACAGAGAGACAG